AAGCGTAAGACTAACGGTTATCCCTCAACATTGAAGTTAAATGACTTAGTTTCCAGTGACGAAAATATTATTGCCGATATGTTTGCTGGTTTCTTCGAGTCAAACTACTCTGCCAGTTCTACATCTTCCCAACTAAATTCGAATCTATGTAGCTACCCACTCTTTCTGCCATCATTTGATTGCATCCGAATTCCATCGATATCTCCTGCGGACGTCCTCATTCATTTGAATTGTTTGAAAATTTCATATACAGCTGGCCCAGACGGTATACCCACAAGTGTTCTTAAAAGTGGTGCAGAGTATTTGTATAAGCCTCTGACAAATATTTTTAATGCTTCCCTAAAACAGGGTGTCTTCCCATCTTCCTGGAAGGATTCGTTTATCTTGCCAGTTTATAAAAATCGAAGTAGGACTAACATCGTAAACTATAGAGGAATTGCGAAGCTTTGCTTAAATGCATAATGTACGCTGATGATGTTAAGCTCTTTAAGTACACTAGTACTGCAGAAGATAGGGAGCATTTGCAAGCTGACCTAACCTGCATTTTCGAGTGGTGGGAAGCAAATTCTATGTCACTCAATTTGAAAAAGTGTAAATTCATGTCCTTCTCTAGAAAATCGTTCTACCCAAATTCATATATGATATCTGACCACAATGTTGAGCAAGTGACCAATTTCATTGACTAGAGGATTGTTGGCTTTTCTTAAGCGCTGAGCCAAGGAGTTCAACGATCCTTAGGTCACTAAAGTTCTCTTTACCTCTCTAGTTAGACCGATTTTGGAGTATCCATCTATAGTATGGAATCCTAGTTATCGAATTCATAGTGACAGGCTCGAATCAGTGCAGAAACAGTTCTTGTTATTTTCCCTCAAAAATTTATGTTGGGACTCGTCTAAAAATCTCCCACCCTACAAGGATCGCCTGAAGCTTATAGATTTGCCGACGCTTCAGAGTCGTAGAGGGATGGTCAGTAGTCCCTTTTTACTGAGTGAGATAAATTTTTGTATTAATACAAGACCCACGAGACATTTTAAACCTGTTGTGTTGAGTATTTGAAAATCAAACTTTGAAATGCATGATGCTTTTCGGTGTTTATGCCAAGATTTTAACAAGCATTATGATTGCTTCGACACGTCTGAATCGCTTTTTGTAATAAGGAAAAGTTTGCTCAACAAGTTAACTAAATAAACTAATATCTGTAACCGTGAACGAAAAAATTACACAATATCAATGACTGCTTAGTACAATTGTAACGGCTTCGTATATTTTCGCGACCGCGTAGGACAATACGAGCAGGGATCGCGGAGCGGAAACTAGGACTTTCCGCCTGCCTCACATACAAAGTAATGACTACGGGAACATGGATCGGAAGCTCGGCCTTTCCGACCATGATCAACGGCCTGTAAACAGCGCGGAGCGGAAACTAGGTCTTTCCGCCCGCCGCACACAAAAGTAGACTGGAGACTAGGCCACGCCAGCTGCCCAAATTGCTATTGTATATCATTATTATCTTTACAAGTTAATATGTATAATTAGTTCACTCTATAATGTATCATACATACTTAAATATCTAAATCTTTTTATCTCAATTGTCTGTAAGAAAACATTTTTCTGTAGACTAAATAAATAAATAAATAAACAAATAATTAATTAATTAATACTTGCGCCGGGTATTTAATGTTCGGGCGAAGCCGACTTGTTTACTTGTTTATATTATATTCAGGTCAATCTACTAATTTTATTACTTCACTCTCATTTCAGATGTAAAAACATATACTTATACTTTGAACAATTTACTGAATTAAACATTTATAGCCTAACCATTCAATTCTGCACATTATCGAAGATTTTGTAACCGGAAAATTTTATTACGAAAAAATGTTAAAAGTTCTTGTCACCGCGATTCTAAGTACGTTGGTAACGCAGTTAAAATATTCAGCAATTCAGCTATGAAGAATTCTGGCATTGCATATTTCACGGGGCAATACTTTGTTACCAGCTTATGAGATAGTAACAAAATTTACCGGTTACCAGAGTACACAGAATGCGAAAAGGGTTTAAAAATTGACAGGAACTTTATTTACCGGTTACAAAATGTTTATTACCAGCGCAGAATAGACCTGTTATTCGTAAAAATAAAGTAGCTTCACAAAAAAAAATGTATGAAAACGTCAAGTTATAAAGGTTTTTAAACCTACTTTATTTTTCAGGCCATTAACCTTTTTATACATTTGTTTACAAAACACTATATGTACTAAGTTTTGTTAAGATCGGTCAAAGGGGTTTGTGAGATATACCAATTTTATGCCTTGACCCCTTATACGAAATTTAGCTTTTCTAGCTTTACTGGTAGTTGAATTCTATCACTCTTTGTATTTGCATGAGTGGAGTGGGCGTGCCACGCCTCAAATTTTTATATTATTTTTATTTCTTCTATTTATGTAGCATAATAAGCCTACACGCAAAACTTAAGTGACATATCTCGTTTCTAATAATTTATGCCAAAAAAGTGATTTCCAGACCATAGTGCATAGCTAAATTTGTTTATTGATGGGTATTTTTATTTTTATTTTTTAATATACATATACATATAAAAATACATATTTACTTTACTTAATAAACACATCCCAAAGTCAAAATTAAACATAGCCAGCAGGGTTGGATGAAAAGATTCATTCAATTAGCACTCAATTAAGCACTAATCAAACAATTAAGAATTGAAATTTTGTATGGTAAATCGAGCTTCATTAACGCCTTAATAGAGAAAGTTTCGCTACTTTAAAAGGTCATTAAGACCCAACCAACTGAAATTTTTACCTGAGAATTTTGGGAGTGATTCCTTTTATTAGGGTGCCGCTACCTCTGAAAAGAATATGTCGGAAATCAAGCTGGTATATCTTTTGAGTTGAATAAATAAAACTTAATAGTACTTAATTATTATCTTTGATCGAAAAAATGAAAATCAAGTAATAATTTCCTTTGAGTGAAAAAAAAATCAAATATCAATTATTATCTTTAAATTTTATGGGTTAATTGCGAAAAATAGAAATCATTGTAAATTACAATAGGACGTACGAACACAAATACGTGAGTTTAGCTAAAATTGCTTTACGATGACTACAACTTGTTGATTTTTTGGTTATAATTTAAAAAAATAATGAATACACCGGCACACAATAAAGTGTGTGCTTTTAACCAGACCCACCTACCGACAGTCGTGTCTGGATATAGTGAACTAATTTTTGCATGGCCTGTTCACAGCATCCAGGTTGTTCACTATATTAAGGTTGACTTATTTTGTTCAAAAACTTGTTTTATTTGCTCAAAATTCATGTTTGTGTATGTAAGTGCAACAGATCTTTGGAATAAATGTATACTTAGGAAAATATAAATGGACATATGAATGTTTATTGAAAGAATTCGCGAATAGATGTTTGCTTCATGCATGAGGAAATTGACTTTTGGACCGCTTTTTCACGTAGAGTTCTCAATACTATTATGCCAGCGTAGTCAGTTTTTAATAGCTTCAGTGGCTTTTATAGGATTTCCGATCTGTCCTTCGCCTTGGTCATCATCACCAGCTGCTGCAGTATCCTCGGCATCTTTCTCTAAATCAATTGGTTCGTCGTCTTCGATTGTATTCCAATTTTATATATCATTTTCAGTGTAGGTTTCCTAAGACAATTAAAGTAAATAAAAACGAAATGGGCAGGTGAATGTCAATAGGGTCAATAAAATTACCTTCGGTATTACAACTTGCAGCAGACCCTGTATATCATCGATTTCTTTATATTTTTCCTGCAATATTTTTTGGCGAAGTAAGCTCAGAGGAACATCATCGTCTTCATCCTCGCTTTCATTTGGCTCTGTGGCATTGAAACATTCTAATAGAGGCTTCCAACTTTCGCTGTTACACTTGCCTTCAGCTGGTTCCAAGCAAGCATTAAAAATGATACAGCATCTTCAAAAGTTAAAGTTTTTAAAAATTTTGTGATGTCATCTTTTCCTACAACTAATAACAGCAGATGTTTTTTGTAGTACAGCTTAGTTAAGCGAATCACATTTTGATCCATAGGCTGAATAAAAGGCGTTAAATTTGGAGGCATATAAACCACGAATATTGAGCCATCAGCAGTTTTAAGTTCATCTTCTGGCGGATGGCTAGGGGCGTTATCAAGCAATAGGATAGCTTTGGTTGGTAAACCCTTTTGTAGCAAATAATTTTGAACCTAATAACAATTAAAAACGAAATAATACTCGGTAAAACTGTTAGGAATTTTAAATGTATTACTCATGAACGTGAGGGACGAAGCAATGGTGAAACCATTCTATGAAGATGTCTGCAGTTACACCATAAATTTCCGATTTTTTCAACAATTTCAGATTTTTGCTTCAACGAAAGGAATTTCCTCGCAGACATGATAACACTTGAAAATTATTTAAATGCTAAATTTATTAGCACACAAAAAATAAAAATAAAAACACGTAAAACAGCGCTCATTCACTCACAAGCGTTGGAACTCGACAAGAACCAAATAAACATTAGCATCAAATAGTAGCAGCTTTTTAGTGATAAACATAAAGTGATACATTTTAGGGAATAACCGCTTTCATTTCCGGTTAAATTTGGTATTTTTTGTCAATTTATGCTTGCCGTTGCTTTTAAAATTTTGTTCACTATTTAGAGGCTTTCGATTGTTCACTATTTAGAGTAAATATTCGGTGTTCACTATATCGGGCGTTCGCTATATAGAGACACGACTGTATTTCGACCCACTGAATCGGAATCTGAGGCCCGTTTGACTAGTACACCTCCTAAATTTCGACTTAATTACAATAATTGTGAAAAAATTGCAAAATATTCACAATTCAGATTCGGATTCAGTGGGTCGAAATACATGTCAGTAGGTAGGTCTGGTTAAAAGCACACACCACTTTTTTGTGACGATGTTGTTTTCCGTCCCTGAGTATAAAAATAGAAATTTACTCTCTATATAAAAAGTAGCTGCTGTACTTTTTGCAACGCATTCCACAAAATCTATTCCATTAATATATGTAAATTTTTTCCTCTTATTTATACAGAACAACCAAAAATGGTTTATTACCAATCAACCCCACTGGTGATTAAAACAGAAAAGCCTAGCCAAGCGCAGTTCTGCACTCCGCTACAAACAGTTACCACTTCTGAAACAATGACAAACCTCGAAACGGCAATCGTAACCCATAAACAACAGGAACATCAGTTGCAGCAAAGCACTACGAATGTATATAACCAGTATGGAAATGTCGCTATAACGCTGCAAGAACAACACGAATCTTCACCATTACCTCACACAAGTATTATACCTAGCAATACAACACAAACCTCCACAAAGAATCTTTCTACGAATCATGCATCAAATATTACTTTACATGCCAATATAAAATCGGAGCCTAACGCTGGTCTATATGGACGCCCCATATCGGAAATATCAACAAATTCCGAATCCACAGCGCTAGCTTTCCATAGTTGCATAACAGTCGCATCCAACGCTCAAACGGCAATAAGCCGCAAGCTAACTGTTAATAAGCCACAATTCAAATGCGAACAATGTGGAATGACCTTTGGTAGTAAATCGGCTCATACTTCTCATACCAAGTCTCATGCGAAAAGCACCGCATTGGTGGGTGGCGTTGCTATGCAGGCTGCAAGATTGGGTGAAACTACCGAGGCTGGTGTGCCAACGAGTATTCCGAAGACACCCGATATGGCTGGAGTCGCTGGGGGTGATCCATATCAGTGCAATGTTTGCCAAAAGACATTTGCAGTACCCGCAAGGCTGGTAAGTGGCTGCATTTTATGTACATAAATATCTGTGGTCGTCTGAAAGAACAACTCAAGTCTAGTTAGACCCATGACACAATAATTTAAAGGTAGTTTCTCTTCTTCTTAGCCACAATTGCACCCATTTTAGCTAAACTCACATATTCAGACAAAAAATAAATAATAATACTTTATTATTAAACAAAAAAATATATTAAAAATATATTTCGAACATCGTATTTTAGCGAGCTTTTAGTGAATCATTTTCTAAAATTAAGTATAAAACGGATTATACATACATTTTACAATGCGCATAAGGAATGCATTTACTTACACTATATTTTTTTAGCATTATTTAGATGAGCCTCATATCTATATACATATATAGTACGCGAAGAGATTTTTTGTACAGCATAAAAGATCTGTACCGTTCGCCCGATTTTCAATAATGAGATGTCAAATTAAAGCGCTTGACCTGTAAATGTGTGAACTGGTTTTATTTTTCGAAAGGAACAATTGAATATAAACTATATAATAAGCAATGCCGTCATAACAGCACCGTTCGTTTGATTTTCCAAAATAAGGTGTCAAATTAAAACTCTTGGACTGCAGATATACAAAAAGGTTTTAGTTTTTTGAAAAGAGTTGCCACCTTTTAAAAAATTGCATTCAAATCATCTAAAAAAAATCCATTATTACAAAATGGGTATCAGTGGAAAGGGTTTTGAAAATATTTGTATTAACTTAACTTTAGGAGGGTTGCCACCTGTTTAAAAAATTAAATTCAATTTGAATTAAGAAAATTAATTAGGAGAAATATGTTTCCACATAAGGGCGCACAACGAAAGGGGCTTCAGAAGGTGCCCGTTTGAAAATATTTTGAAGAGGGTTGCCACCTTCTTGCAATGTCGAATTTAATTGACTTATCCAGAAGTTATATGAAATGTCAAAATAATGATGTGAAACAAAAGAATATTAAGAAGACTTTAGTTTGAACACATAAAATATTTTTGAGGTGTTGGAAGAGGGTTGCCACCTGTTTAAAAATTAATTTCAAATTATTAAATAAGTTAAATGAATTATTAAAATATGGGTATCAATCGAAGCTGGGTTGAAAATTTTTTATTTCTGAACTATATTTAGCGGAGATGCCACATATTTAATTAATATAACTCAACTTAATTCATCAGTTGATTAAAATTTGTATCGCAATGTTAGGCGAAGAATATTTAAGAATATCTTTGCGCGAAACTACTTTTCGAAAGGGCTGTCACCTGTTTAAAAAGTCGAATTTAACTATATCTATATATATAATACGCGAAAGGACTTTTTGTCCAGGTCATCAGATCTGAACCATTCGTTTGATTTTCAAAAATGAGGTACCAAATAAAAGGGCTTGATATGTAGATGTGCAGTAGGCTTTTACTTTTCCGGAAAGTATGGCCACCTTTTAAAAAATCAAGTTGAGATTATTTATAAATTAATACCATCATATCCCCATCCTTCGCTCGATTTTTAAAAGTGAGGTGTCAAATTAAAAGACTTGGTTGCAGATGCGCAATTAGGTTTTTTTTTTGAAAAGAGTTGCCGTACGTATCAGTCGAAATGGTTATTAAAAGCTTTGCTTCTTAACTGCTTTTAACAGGGAAATTACATAGGTTATTTACAAAATGTTCCCCCATAGGGGTCCATACTAAAGGAGTTTAAAAAGGTAGTAATTAGAGAATGTTTTGAAAAGGGTCACCACCTGCTTTCAAAACCGAATTTATTTATATGCAGTATTAAAATATGGGTGTTAAACGAAAGAGTGCTAAGAAATCTTCAGTTTAAACATCAGAATTTTGTTTGATGGTTTGAAGAGAGTTGCCAGCTGTTGAAAATTTTAAATTTAAATGAATTATTAAGTTTAATAAATTAAGTTAATAAAAAAGTTAAGTTAAATAAATTAGGATTTATATCTGAACTGTTTGGGAGAGTTGCCAGGTGATAAAAAAATTAAATTTAATTTAATTCTTCAGGTAATTAAATTATGTATCAAAGTATCAGACGAAAGAACTTTAAAGGATTTCAGTTTGAAAATGCTTCGCAGAAGGTTGCCACCTGTTTGAAAAGCCTAATTCAGATTTTACACAATTTTAATGAAATATTAAAATACGAGTGGCAAAAGAAACAGTTTTAATAAGACTTTAGTTTGAAAGGAAATATTTTTTGATAGGGTTGCCATCTATTCGATTTTTATTTTGATCGATAACGTTCGGTAATTGTGTTATCAGCTGTCTCGATGAAGTCAATTGGCCCCCTCGGAGCCGCGATTTCTCGCCCTTAGACTTTTTTGTGCCATGACGTGAAGGACCGATATTATGCGAACAATCTATTAACGATTCAGGCCTTTAAGGCGTATGTCAGGCATTTCTTACGATAGAGCCAGAAACCATCAACAAGGTCTTGGAGAACTGGGTTAACAGGATGCGCTACTGCGAAGACAGTCACATGATGAAATCGCGTTGCATAACTAATGGGAATATATGTTCTTTCGAATAAACCCATAATATACCGAAAAAATTAGTTTGAGTTAATTTTTATAAATAAATATTTTTTATTGTTATGGTCATCAGATCTTTAATATGAAGGTCATCAGATCAGCAATGTCATTCTAAATGTGCATTAAGGTTTTATTTTTTGAAGCTACGACCATTTTTAGCGGAGCACGGTGGCATGAATTTTGAGGAAATGAAAAACCGACGCCATTTGAGACCTCTCTTCGTTCAAAAAGGGATGGACTAATTTACTTGAAACATTTGCGATATTTATTAAGGTTTGTGAATAGTGTTGCCATCTGTTTAAAATATTAAACTCAATTTTTGGCGTCTTAACGCCATGCGGGTTCACTAGTATACACTATTACAAAGTTCATAGCTTTTATTTATTGTTATTTATTTATTTTATTTAAGAAGAAGAAGAATGCGAGAACTGGGAGATTTAAAGTATAAACAGAATCAAATCGCTGAGCGAACATCGTCGGAAGAAAGTTCGCAGTCAAAATTAAAATACACAGCGGTATACGAAGAAATTCGGCGAGAATAGATTTATTTTCAATTTTGCCGTTGCCGCTGGTCACAAAATCAGCAGTCAGTGGAAAATTAGCTTTGTTTCTCCACTTTTTCAGCAGATAAGTATAATTATCAGCAATAATCAGAATGGCGGGATGTTGGTAAACGAGAACAAGATGAAGTATCTCCTGTCATCAAATAAACAGTCAGCACATTCGCGCCTTGGCACCCACGTCACTGTTGACAGTTACAATTTCGAGAAAGTAGAGAATTTCGTTTACTTGGGAATCAGCATTAACACCGATAATAATGTCAGCATTGAAATCCAACGTAGAATCACTCTTGCCAACAAGTGCTACTTTGGACTGAGTAGGCAATTCAGGAGTAAAGTCCTCTCTCGACGTACGAAAACCACGCTCTATAAGTCACTCATCATGCCCGTGCTGGTATATGGCGCAGAAGCATGGACAATGACAACATCCGATGAGGCGGCTCTTGGGGTGTTTGAGAGAAAGATTTTGCGGAAGATTTACGGTCCTTTACGCGTTGGCGACGGCGAGTACCGCAGACGATGGAACGATGAGCTGTATGAGCTTTACAACGATATGGACATAGTGCAGCGAATTAAAATACAGCGGCTCCGCTGGCTTGGTCATGTCGTTCGAATGGACACCGACGCTCCAGCTCTGAAAGTATTCGACTCGGAACCCGCTGGTGGTAGCAGAGGAAGAGGTAGACCCCCACTGCGATGGAAAGATCAGGTGGAGAAGGACTTGGCTTCACTTGGCGTTTCCAATTGGCGTCAGTTGGCACAGAAGAGAAACGAATGGCGTGCTTTGCTGAACTCGGCCAAAACCGCTTAAGCGGTTACAGCGCCAAAAAAGAAGAAGAAGAATCAGAATGGCAAAGTTTGGCGATTCAACTTTTCGCGTTTGTACTTTATGACGCTTTTATCAACTTACTTTCTTGTTTGTCAAGACACCTTTGCTATAATCAAACTTTCTATAAAACCTAGTCTAGGCATCAACCTCGTCGGTAGATATCATATCAAAGAATAGCCGTCAGCGATTCGCCAACAGTTAGCGAGTGGCGAAACAAACTAACTCAATGAGGTGCACCCAAACTCGCTATCGTCCATCTTCGCTAGCTAGCTTTGTTGCTTTCACATGCAACATTTTTCGATAAGCGACCGGAACTCAAACATAGCAAGCAGAGAAGTGGCGAATCGATTTCGGCTTATATAATTATATTATTATATTATTATTATATATGAACTAGTTGTAAACTAACTCACAACTAGTATGAACCACATGCCCAACTAGTCAGCCAACTGTCTTTTTTCCTTGCAATCAACTGGTATTTTTAACATGCGGATGTCCTTCGAGATGGCAATTGTCAGATTTCGGTCAGAAATATACCAGTCTCATAGTCTCTAGTTCAAAATAGACAGAAAAATACTAGTTCAATTAGGGACCAAAACCACTATTTTGGGAGTCACAAAATAATATGAATTCAAGAATATACAATAAAACACGTTTGATTAAGTACACTTTAATATATTACACATTTTTATTTAGCAGCCTTAGATTTGCCAATAATAAGTGTTAAATTTTTTGAGTATTAATTAAAAGGAAAAACAAATACATAAATATTTCAAACTTTCGAACATAAATGTAAATGCATTTTCATTAAGTGTTATTAAAAGTTAAAGTTTTCAGGTACAATAAATGCGTTATTTTTATCTTTTTTAAAAATATTGAATATCCAAAAGAAAACATTTTTCATTTTTGAGTGAACTAACATAAAAATAAAAGTTTTCATTAAAATAAATTAAATTCATTAACTTTGCACATTTCAGTCTTTTCTTTTTAAAATTTTACAAAGTAATCATTAATGTTTAAATTTGAGATTTGGATAAGAATACAATAAATAAATAATTCAAGCAGTTATTAAATATTCTTAATTTTTG